AGTCCTCCATAAAATGTGCTGCACACATCTGAATATTTGGGTTAAACTGTTCTGGAACAGTGTTGTAAATACAACTTAACCACTGATTTCTAATCATGTCCATTTTTGGAAGGCCAAACAAAGTATTTTCGCTTTCACAACCAAACACAGCGTCACACACGGTGGCCTAGAGTGAGCAGAGGCCGGAGGGCTAGAGTGAACAGAGGCGGGTGGGCTTGAGAATGGCGCAGCCGGCGATTTCGACGAAGGAGCATCCGGAAGGACATGTGACGACTCCGGGCTGGACTCCGCTTCGTCCACGGTGAAAGCCGATCCGGTGATCCACAGCACTAAGTTGATGTATTCCCTCAGCGACCAGCACAGATCAGCTCTAGGCATGACAAAGCGGATATCGTCCTCTTTTGGAAGACCAAACAAAGTAGTTTCGCTTTCACAAAAAACACAGCGACTTCACGACATGGCGGCAGCAACAACAATACTACAGCGAGAATAAAAGTTACGCCTTCTTTCTTTGCGTGAACATTTAGGCGGCGTTATGCAAATCTTCCCACATAGTGAAGTAGATATGTGGGGGCGTGTTAGAACGAGCCGTTTTAGGAGGATGTGGTTAACTCTTTAACTTTTATAAAGAATATCTCTTTGGATTTGAGACTTTAGTCTTTGCAACTTCAGGGATCTTATCTATGCACAATCAGCTTGTAACACTCCAAAGAGAAAGGAAAAATTGAAATTGCATCATATGACCCCTTTAATAACCACCATGCCTTGAATTGTTTCCATTGTTTAACAGCTTGAAATTCCCCATGCCAGCAATAAAATACTATTTGGTATAAGGTATTAAATAATATCTATAAGAGGATCCAAGTTTAGTCTACCAAAAAGTAGTACTTGTTTTGCAGGTGCAAAAAATAAATAAAATAAAAAGAAAGAAAGAAAGGTTCTTTATTTGCGTCTGTGTTCCCATCCAAGGATCCTTTCCATTGGACAAAAGATTATTTTAGTGGAAAAAGATTCTTTAGATTTTTTAAATGTTCTTTACTCTAATAATATACTGGTTCTTTTAACAAAGACACCCCTTTGGAGCCTTTATTTCAAAATGTAGGAGGTTCTATAAATAAAAATCTTCATAACTTTGCAATCTTTCATTGAAAACAAGATTGCATTTGTCTTGTTTAAATAACCTGATGAACATTGTAAATTGATACAACTTTGCATTCTGATGTTCCTGTCAGGTCCATCTAGTGACTTTTATGTCACATACCTAGAATTTTTTAATTCTTATGCTTTCCATTTTGAAAGAGAATGAGACACTTACATTTTTTTTCTTTTTTGTATTATTCTTTCAGGTTCTTATTGTGGATTTGTGTGCGGACAAGTTTGTCGTTCAGGTGTGTATGCAAGTTTTAGTTTTCTAATACAAGGGTGTGACCTTTTGAAAGTGTCACAAGTGCGTGTTTGTGAGGGTGTAGTCTGAAACGGAAGTCACAGCCTGAGCAGCTGTACTGTATTATCAGCCAAAGACATAAATCTGATGGTTTTAAGAAGTCTTTTTGGCCATTTATATTGTCATCCAATTCCAGTTTTTCTCTTATACACTACCATTTAAAAGTTTGGGTCAATAATAATATCCCCAGTGATTTGAAAAGAAGTCTCTTATGCTCACCAAGGCTGCATTTATTTGATCAAAAAATGCTATATAATTTGAAATAATATTTCAATTTAAAATAACTGCTTTCTTTTTTAATATATTTTAAAATTAAATTTATCACAAAGCAGCCATTACTGTCTTCAGTGACACATGATCCTTCAGAAATCATTTTAATATGCTGAATTTCTGCTCAAGAAACATTTCTTATTGTTATCAATGTTGAAAACAGTTATTGCTTCATATTTTTGTGGAAAACATTTTTTCAGGATTCTTTGATGAGTAGAAAGTTAAAAACGGCATTTATTTGAAATATAACTTTTTTGTAACATTATAAATGTCTTACCTGTCACTTTTGATCAATTTTGATTAGGGCTGTCAAATCAGATAAAAGTTTGTGGTTACATAATATATATGTGTGTACTGTGCATATTCATATGTATATAAATACACACACATACATGTATATATTTAGGAAATATATGTAATATATATATATATATATATATATACATACATACATACATACATACATACATATTGTTAAATATATACATGTATGTGTGTGTATTTATATACATATAAATATACACGGTACACACACACACACACACACACACACACATATATATATTATGTAAACACACATTTTTATTTTGGATGCGATTAATCGCAATTAATCGATTTGACAGCTCTAATTTTAATGTATCCTTGCAGAATACATATAAATTTCTTAAAAAAATAAATAAATAAAACTAATACAAAATAAAATCAATTACTGACTCCAAACCTTTGTACATTAGTCTACATCAGACTACTAATTGCTGAAGATCTAATTGCTGACAAATCCTTTTGTTAAATGTAATCATGGGTCTATTTATCTTGTCTTTGTATCAAAATGTCTGTTTCTTTCATAAATTTGCTCCTATATTCATCTTTCTCTCCTAGCTTGGAGACGAGGACTGTATCTTACCTAGAAAGCTGCAGGCAGCGCTTCAGGAGATACTGGACAACAGGGAGGAGATCCTAGAACAAAACACAAGAGACAGGAATGGAGGTTAGACTCATCACACGTGCCGTTATTCACAGCTGAACCCACAGCATCTGACTCAGTTCAATTTTAAACCGGTTTCACTCACGTGACTGAAGGTTTGGTCCATTGTCTTATTGTGTCAAAATGAGCTGTTCACCTTTTAAAGTCCTACTGTCTATTTATTCATGATGTGATGAGTAACCAACCATAAACAAGGCCAGTGAGGTCAGGAACATGCTGACAAGTATGATTTCAGGTGTACAGATGTTCGTTAAGCTGGCTCAACGGCAAATAGTCATTATGCTGGTTATACTAAATATTCAAGGACCAACGGCTTAACAAGCACAGAATTAAAAATAAGTGTCATCTGACATTATCAAGATGAATTTGTTCTGACACAGTTTAACTCTGAGTTCTTGTCATATTTTATTACCATTTTCTAAACTATAGCGAATAAACTGTGATAATGTGAGAAATGTTGAAGGTGTCTGAATACATTTTGGTTTGACTGTAAATGGCTTCAAAGCTAATAGACATGGACAAAGCCACAAAAGTCTTATTTTATGGGCTTGTGTCTGTTTAGTTTGTTCTTGTTGTTTTTTTATACTATGCAGTATCAATGTGTCACACTGTGGTTTTATTCTTCTAACAGATAAATCAGACCTGAGCATGTTGGTGTCAGAGGCGTTTGTGTGGTTCTTTGTTGAGCTGGTGGGACATTATTCTCTGTACATGAGCGACACCGGACCCGGTGGCACCCGAGAGCTGCAGAGAGACGCTTTCAGGAAATCTCATCCGTCCCGAGGAGTGCGACAGTTTCTCCAGCTCTTCATGGACACGCAGATGTTTGCTGGTTTCATTCATGACCGAGAGCTCCGAAAAGGGGGTGTTAAAGGTGAGAGAAGAAATATTCGGATTAGAGTTGTTATTTTTAGGGCGAACCATTCCTTTGAAGTAATGAGAGAATGTTTTGTCCTTGTTTAACAGGGCTGTTTGAAATGAGAGCAGCAGAATATCTGGATTCGTATCCTGAACCTGAACCAAGTGGAGTCAACAAATTTCTCAAGGGGCTCGGTAAATCTTTTGCCTCTTTTCCATTTGTCTAGAATGAAAAGATAAATATGTAGAAGCACTTTGTCCATTGTTTTACTCACAACTATGTTTGTTTGCAGGAAATAAAATGAAATTCTTGCAGAAGAAATAGAGAACGGTTTCAGACGCCAAGTATGAGCGGCTTTTATTCAAAAGTGTGTGATGACTCAACCAGCACGTCAGTTCCTCTCCCATAACTAACACGCAAAAGGGTGGAGATGAGGTCAAGACTGGAATCAGCTTGTTCTGCCCTGAAAATTCTCTGGCTTGGATTTGCCATCCCATCACAAAAGAGGAAAAGGCTGGAAATGAGTTTATAAGCACAAGGAACAAAGACGACTGTATTAGAACAAAGAGGAAAGGGAGGAGTCTGTGTCATGTTATTGTAATTTTGATAAATAAGGAAAAAACGGACTATGAATGCATAATAACAAGAGTTGGGTTAATGGCCATGTCAGAGGTCTTACGTGTTTTTATTGTCTTTAATATAATTTTTATTAAACCACACAATAAGATAAGCTTATGTTTTAACCAAAAACCTTTTCCAGCTGGAAATGTGTTGTTAAAAAGAAGATATGATGAAGGATGACTTCTATTCCCCTTCAGGAATTAATTTATGATTCTTTATATGCACAGAAATGGCCTTTCCAGTTAGGTCAAACTTTTTTTTTTTTTGCCAAATTTTCTGTTTTGTCAAATAACAATGCAAGTGTTTGTTTTTTCAGAGGCTTTTACATTTTGTACAGTTGTGTTTTTAGACAGACTTTTTGTAACATTTGGGGGAAAAAACAGCTTTCTGATGCAATGTTGGACAGGAAGTGTGAAACAAACAATGTGATCTTGATGTGGAAATTGAACATTTTGATGAATGTCAAGAGAATGAGAATGTATAGGGTGCATGGGTTTAAAATATATGGGAAACTTATAATGAAAGGAGTATACAGTGTTATTAAAAACTACACTTACAGCAGTAATGTGGATTTGGTGGCTATTTGAAAGAAGCTAAGTGGCTATAACAGTTTTGACACTTTTTAGGACATTGCATAAGTGTTTTTTTGTTATTTAATAATTCCGATGACTGCTGTTATCATGTTACCTTAACATGTAAGAAGTAATAGTGATCCATTGAATCAAACTTCCGAATGGTACTTTACATTGATTAGAGACGGAGGCGGTGTTGCCAGGTCTGTGTAACAAAATCAGTCCAATCAAAAATAGGCTAAAACAAGCCCATTGACCCCATCCAAATATTAAAGGGGTCCTATTATGCTTTTTCACTTTTTAAATTTTAGTCAGTGTGTAGTGTGTATGTTTGGCCATAAAAAAGATCTAGAAAGTTACAAATTTCAAAGTCCACTCCAAAGGGAGATATTTCATTTTTTAAAAATCCCATGAGAGCATGTTCTAGTACACCCCCAAAACAAAACCAAGACTTTGTAAAAGAGCATAATAGGACCCCTTTAAAACTCAACATATGCCACTCCCATACCTACAATACATGTTTCATAAAGGAGCTCAAAAGCCCTTCCCTCACAAAACTCATGATCTAGCACAGTTTTATTATTGGAAGAATGTAAAATATTTAAATGCATGCATTTTAGTCAATTGCAATGTATCCAATATGTTAAACCTTTAAACCGCGGGGGGGGGAAATCAACCCGCGGCAACAGTTTACAAGCAGCAAAATTACGCGGGAAAACCGCGAACTTGGCAACTCTAGACGGAGGGCGCGGGTATCCTCCGATACACAAGGGGCGCTGATGTTCGTTTGTCATTCAATCCCATCATAACAGAGCGTGGAGCGTGTTTTTGTTCACACAGCTCTTAATCAATCACTGGCCCTGCGTCTCAGTGTTCATACTATCCATCCTAAATAGTATGTTTGATTAGAATAAGTGTGTAAACTACAAACATGGCGGATGTGCGCGACCGGCGGTTAGGTAGAGGCAATCCCATATAAAAAGGGGTTTGAGTTACTATAAGATTCAACATTTAACCTGGTAAAAAATATTTATTTAATGTTATCTGTGTTATATTTAATCTGCAACAGCAATGTAAACTTTTATAAACATCCATTTGGTCGTTAACTTTTAAATGCATCATTACGCATAAAATATAAGCAGAGTTCTCAGCATGAAAGACCCGCGACTGGCAGATCAATGTGCTACTTCTTTTCTCTCCAATACGGTAGGAAGTTAAATGAAAAGCAATGTGGAGGACGTTAACTGTGACAAGATGATTGACAGGCCAGTTTACAGTGACATGGTGCGTGTATCTATGCCACAGAGCGTCCGTGAAAGACGCAGTTGTGTGATGTCCCAAAGCTTGCCTACTCTTCTACTACACTCTCAAAAGTGTATACTTTTTCTTCTCCAAAAGAGTACATACTTTAAGGGCGTAGTATAAGTAGGCACACTGAGATGCAGCATGGGGGGTGTTTCTCAAACGGAAGGCTGCAACGTCGCTGAAGGGCATCTCAATCGCAAGGATCCTTGGAAGGCAGCCTTCTGCCTTGTCCAAATACACACACTTGTGGTCTTTGCACTTGACCACTTGACTACTTATATGACGTATTTCATGTATTTGGCCCAAGTGTGTGTACAACTTTTCATTACCTGATGGGACACACTTATAGTGTTGTAAAAAAGTGTTTACAGAGTTTTATTATTATTTTCAATACTTTGCATTTTAAATCAACGTCTACATGTCTGTTCAGTAGTCCCTATAATAGATGACACAATTTAATTAAGTGATAAAAAGCAGTTGCAAATGTTGTACAAAAATAAATATACTAATCTTTGCAGCAATAAAATGTGTAGCACTTTGTTTTACTACCAAATCATATGTAATATCTTATTATTATTCATATTTAACTTACATTGGAAAGGTTTCTGTGACCTCTCGCGTGATCTTGGCAAAAGGTCTCACGATTTATTTCCAGAATATGATGCATGATGGGATACACTAAACCTCGAATACCGCTCCGGAGCGGTTAGAATGGGGAAGAATGCGATTAATAGAAGAATTAAGTATTTTGAATATAGAAAATATAACAATTAAGACAATACGAAAGAATGCTCCAGCACAGTATAAAGTATATTATGCAATTATACGCTATTTGAAAGCAATAGGTTTAATAAATAGGATTTATGATCACATAATGAAGTGTATAGAATAATTGTATCCTTTTTTTAAAGGTATGTTGTCACTAACATCCGTCATGCGCCACACTCCAGTCCAGTAGGTGGCGGAAATGCACCTTTTAAGTGGGTTTGCCAACCGCCATTAACAGAGAAGAAGAAAAGGAAGAAGCGTGGCAACTATAGACATGTTTCACATACTATTTAAGTATCTCAAAGACACAGAATTAATGAACAGGATTTAAAGAATTATTATTATTATTTTTTTTTTTTTCTTTCTTTAGCTTTTTAGTTTTTCCTTTAACATCAATGCTCCACACTCCATCCTAGTAGGTGGCGGTATATACACCTAAAGCTGGTTTGCCAACCGCCATAAAAACGTTAAAGAAGAAGAAGAAGCGTGTTGTAAAGGATGGCAGGACCGGCTTCAGTCGCTGGTGATGTTTTTGTTGATGCTCTGCCTTATTTCGACCAGGGTTATGATGCTCCAGGGGTCAGAGGAGCCGTAAGTAGACTGAATATGTCTTTTTGTACGTTCTGCCTACTTAAAACGTCGATAACTAATAAATATAAGACCTACAGGCTCTGTACAGACAGCTAACCGCTGCGTCTACTTCTGGTTCTTAAATTAAACCGTTTAGTTGTTTATTCATCATATGTTTCTGTTTTGAGTATGCTATAGTGTTACAATTGTCTGTATTAGAGGGAAATGTACGTTCGAATCGGTTTGAATCAATTTCAGGCAGCTGCTTTGGTGGAAGAAGAGACGAGACGATACAGACCAACCAAGAACTATTTGAGCTACCTGCCCACACCAGATTTCTCTGCTTTTGAGGTACGAGGAAAAGACCCTTTCTGCTTCTGTTTTACTATAATGTGGTTCACACTATAATCTTACTGTTATGTTGTTCTCATTAGACAGAGATCATAAGGAATGAGTTTGAGAGACTGGCTGCTCGTCAACCCATGGAGCTGCTCAGTATGAAGAGGTAAGTTTACTGAGCAAAACTGCTGTTACAGGTGAACTCTTGTGTCCTGCTGATCTAGAATAGAAAATACATATATACATAGGAAAATTAAGTTGCAGTAAATCTAAAGACATCTTTGGGAGGAAGAAGCTGCAGTAATAGTTGTAACAGATGCGTGATTAAAATATTATTTGCTTTCACACAAATTTTTTTTACAAACACATCAACTTCATAACAAAATACCATGTTATTAGCCAGTTTCCCGTTGAAGTATTACACTTGCATAATTCAGTCCACCTTATTTTGCAATGTTGTAAAGCTGTTTTCTGTGAATGTGCAAGACTTCTGCTTCATTAGCCGCTGTAGGTAAATAATTGGAATATCAAAGTGCAGTCAATGCAATGGTAAAACTATTTGCGCTACAAACCAGTGTTTATGATTAAAATAATATGATGACGAATACCAGTTTGCAGAGTCAAGCAGCATAGCTGACTATTTTGTACAGCTAAGTAGTTTTTTACTTTAAATCGGTTACTGTAAGCTAGTTGTTTAAGATTGCACCATTGTTTCATTGTCCAGCTCATTCGCAGTGCTTTGCTTGTAGTTTGTTCCTTCATACAAAAATGTAAGATCTGGTTAGTTTGGTGCAGTTCCTCTTTATTGAAGCTGATCTATTGCACACATTTAAATAATTAAACCTGCTTCATTGTTGATACCTTACAAGCATTGTACAGATAGTTTCCTTTACATTTACACATCCATTTATCCAAAGCAACTTGCTTTGCATTCAAGGTGCACATTTTTTATCAGTTCTTGCTTTCCTGGGAACCGAACATGAACTTGGCATTGCTAGTGCCATGCCCTACTGTTTGATCTACAGGAAGGCCTACATTAGTTGGTCTAAGCTAGTTTCAGGTTTACATCTGATAATGAGCGCATCCAACTATACCTAAAAAAGAGTGTTGTTTACTGTTAGATCTCACCTTCTTGTGCTTTTCTTAGATATGAGCTTCCTGCTCCATCGTCTGGGCAGAAGAATGACATCACAGCATGGCAGGACTGTGTCAATAACTCTATGGCCCAGCTGGAGCACCAGGCAGTGCGCATTGAGAACCTTGAGCTCATGGGCCAGTATGGAACTAATGCATGGAAGGTGTCTAATGAGTGAGTGAACAGACTATTCAAGATTTGAATCTTAAGCAGGAAACTCAGACTCCCTGTGTTGATTTAACCCTCATCCGTCCCTCCCGAACCTATAACAAAAGTGTCCCTCGCAGGTCAAAATGAACCGAAGGCCAAAAATGATACTAATTTTATTTATTTATTTTATTTATTTGTCCAGAAAGATTGTATTGGTCATCATCCATCAGGACCTAGGTCACTGAGTGTCTCTGATGCCATCTGGTGGGGAAGAATTACATAAAATTGCATTTTTTTTTATTACAGCCACTAGAGGGGCCTATTGAATCCTATGGAGGTTCTTAAATGAGCCAAACAAGTGAAATCTTTAAAGGGGTCATAAGGATGCCCATTTTCCACAAGTTGATATGATTCTTTAGGGTCTTAATGAAAAGTCTGTAACATAGTTTGGTTGAAATTTCTCAATGGTAGTGTAAAAAAACACCTTTTTTACCCTGTCAAAAACAGCTCTTTTCAGAGCATGCATATTTGTAGCATTTTCCTTTAAACATGCATATTCATACAGTTTCATAAATATGTAATAAATATAAAAGATAAATTTAAAAATATTAATGATATAAACTCATTGGTCTCCACCAAGTCAAAAAAAAAAAATCTAAATGACACCCACTTAAACTGCTCGAATTCTCATACCATAACGATCAACGCTCTACACCAACTTGAGGCTTCATTAAGCTTTCAGATATATCTCAAGGCTTTAAGATATATATCAAAACATAAAAAAATTTATATTTTGTAAAAAAAAAAAAAGAAAGTTATACTGATTTTTAATCCAAATACATGCATATTCATACAGTTTCATAAATATGTAATAAATATAAAAGATAAATTTAAAAATATTAATGATATAAACTCATTGGTCTCCACCAAGTCAAAAAAAAAAAATCTAAATGACACCCACTTAAACTGCTCGAATTCTCATACCATAACGATCAACGCTCGATTTTTAAAAAATCTTTAAAAATGAGTTTTGGGTCAGAATGACCCGAGGGACAGATGAGGGTTTTAAAGGAATAGTTCATCCAGAAATGAAAATGTACTCACCCTCAGGCCATCCAAGATGTAGATGAGTTTGTTTTTTCATCGGAACAGATTTGGAGAAATGTAGCATTACATCACTTGCTCACCAATGGATCCTCTGCAGTGAATGGGTGCCGTCAGAATGAGTCCAAACAGCTGATCAATAATCCACATGACTCCAGTCCATCAATTAACATCTTGTGAAGTGAAAAGCTGCGTGTTTGTAAGAAACAAATCCATCATTAAGGAGTTTTAACATTCTACCATTCTATTGGTGAGCAAGTGTTGTAATGCTAAATTTCTCCAAATCGGTTCACGTTGAGAAACAAGCTCATCTGCATCTTGGATAACCTGGGGGTGAGTACATTTTCAGCAAATTAAAATTTTTGGGTGAACTATTCCTTTAACATGGGACCTTCATCTGTATGTTATTACCTTTGGGTTATGAGTCCGACTCTCTAACCATTAGGCCACGACTTCCCCCACATTATTTATGGGGTTACAGTCTGAATACAGTGAACACTATTTGCGGGCTCATGACTTTGGATTAAAAAGCTATTTAATTCATTACTGATGCAATATAAATAGAAAATGAAAACAGTTGAGATTTATTTGTGGATTTTATGCTGATCATAACTGATTGTTGTGTCTGTGATACAGTAACTTGGCCTTAATGATTGAAAACGCACAAAAGGAACTGCAGAAGGTTAGGTGAGTAACTTGTAGGTCAATGCAATTTACATGTGGATGTTGTATATTGTGGTTGTGCACAAACTATTTAATTGGCTTTTGAAATTAATTTTAATTAGGGGTGCTCCGATCAGGGTTTTTGAGGCCGATCGCCGATCACAGAAAGCAGTATCTTTCGATACCGATCTTTTTAAAGCCTTCTTTTTATCATTTATAACTATTTATATTGATACTCCAATCAGGATTTTTAGACGTTTATTCAGGGCCTGAATTTCATTTTTGAAAATGGGGGGGAATTCCCCTCTTAGGTGACTCTTGTGAGAGGAGAGCAGGCGAGCGCTGAATGATTAAACACTGGCAAGAATTAAAAAGTAATGCAATTTATAAACTTTAGTGACGATGTGACACTGCCTCGATTGTACAAGTGACAATTGCTGTGTCAACTGTGCAGCTCGCTTATAGACAGACGCGATGTGTGGTGATTTGAAGCCATTTGCGTATTTTGAGTAAGAAAGCGGGAGCGCGCGCGGTGATTCACTCACGCTGTTTGTGAAATTACGTTAAGTTATTTAATGAAGAAATATTATATACAGCATTATAATTATTTTACCCGCGCCGGACAGAGACTGACGGTGCTGCTGCATGTCGTGCCAAACCTCTCATGGCAGCGTCATCAGCTTGAGATCGTTTTTTTGAGATCGGCCTTTTTAGAGAACAGACATGTTTAAACTCAATAAATATAAGCAACACATTATTCAATGCTTTTTACTTTTGCATTTACTTTGCATATAGTTGCTCAAGCAAGTGGCAAAACATTTAAACTATTTTTCTTACATTATCACAAACTTACCATTGACAGAAATAGTGAGCTCTACTGCCTTTCCTTTTGCATTGAAATCTTTATTACAAGCAATCCTGCCATTCATAAAGAACTTTTTTCTTTTTTTTCCTACCTCCACGAGTGCCATCTATTATTGCCTTGTTTATATAAAAGTGCTTTTTCCCTTTAAACCTAGCCGAAAAGCCATATGTGTTAACTGTGAAATTACTGCCTTTTCTTTTGCATTTAATTCTTTATTACAAGCAATCCTGTGGTTCATAAATAACTTTGTTTTCCTTCCTCCACGAGTGCCATCTATTATTGCCTTGTTTAAAAGTGCTCTTTCCCTTTAAACATATAGCCGTAAAGCCATATGTGTTAACTGTGAAATACAGTAGACATTAATAATATGCATTTATGGTGTAATTACTAAATTTTCATGTCGATCCATGTTCATATTTACTGCAAACAATGCGCTATTACTTTAATTAATCTGACGGTGCTGCTGCATGTCGTGCCAAACCTCTCATGGCAGCGTCATCAGCTTGAGATCGTTTTTTTGAGATCGGCCTTTTTAGAGACCGCCGATCAAACATCCCAACGTGATTATCGGCCGATAGTGATCGGTAGCGATCAATCGGAGCACCCCTAATTTTAATATGAAGCGGTTATCTATTAACAGGGTTATATATATTTACAGGGTTATCTATTAACAGGGTTATATCTATTTACAGGGTTATCTATTAACAGGGTTATATCTATTTACAGGGTTATCTATTAACAGGGTTCCCTCAATGTGTTTCTGTTCTCGTTTTAAGAAAGCAGATACAGGACCTGAACTGGCAGCGCAAAAACGATCAGCTGGCTGGAGGAGCCAAACTACGAGAACTTGAGTCAAAGTCAGTACTTCGTTATGTTTCTATATGGAACCCATTTCCAGAATTTGTCTTGAGCAAGGTTGAATTCAATTAGTTTACTCAACTCTGATGTAATTGTTTCTGCTTATGTTTCCACAGCTGGGTGTCTCTCGTTAGTAAGAACTATGAGATTGAGCGCGCCATCGTCCAGCTGGAGAATGAAGTGGCACAGATGAAACAGCAACAGGGTGATGAGAACAAAGAGAATATTCGACAGGACTTTTAAATAATGAAAACAGTTCAACTCCATCTTGAAACTGTGTAGACTTTGTAAAAGCAAATGATCACCAAAGTGTGGCGCTTTTTTTTTTTAAAAATGTTTGTTTTGTTCCATTTTCATGATGAACCGAGAAAATAGTCTTTATAAAACACAAATGAGAATATAGTGTTGTAGTGCAAACAGAGGATATGCCAGTTTATAGTTCATGATTTTGCACCAAAATTAAACCAGATTTCGACTCTGGAAATCAGTAACTCACATTCGTTTACTGTGTACATAAAGTAGATAATGTGCGTGTGTTGTCATTTATAATAATTTTGTGTTTTTTTTTTTAATGTATGATTACCTGATGGACGTTCAGTTATTAATTTGCATGTTCTACTCTTATTTGTAATATATATATTTTTAAATATACCATAAAATGGTGAAATAATGACTTGCATTGTTCAGTTTCTCAGTTAACAAGACTCCACCAATGTGTCTGGAAATGAAAACTAAATATATCTAAGAGCATCACAGGCTAACACATTTGGTCTTGATTTTATCACTTTATATTCCTGTTTCATGCCATTACTGTTAATATGCTACATGGCCAAACTGTAAAAATGGCTATAGTGGCCTACATTGGACCATGGTATAGAAAGAAAATTAATGCATTTAGGTTTATCTTTTGTATTGCCTTGAACATTTAACTTTTGCTTTGAGTTATTTCAACTTTGTTCAAAGTAAAGTTCAAAGTAACTTCTTAAATTTTAAACTTGTGTTTTAAATTTTTACATGCAACAGTAGTTGGTTACTTGCAATTAGTGTTCTGTTTGTGGGTCGAGTTATTTTTAACATCTTGCTTAATTGGGTGCTTATTCTTTGATCTTCCAAAAATAGTGCACACTGTTCATTAACTTTCAATTCGATTATATATAATATATTTTCATCCTCCAAGTTTCTTCGGAATCTAAAACACTTATACTGCAAAATAAAGTTGCATATAGGAATGATCTTTTAAGTGAACTTTTGATACTGATGCTGTATTGTTTTTTTAAGTATTATTTTTATTATTGTGTGGACTGTTTAAAAAATATTGATCCTAATGTATATGTTTGTAACATGGGATTTTATTAATTAGAATTAAAAATCTATACATATCATGGTAGCATATGTGTTTTTCCCCTTCTGCTGATGTTAAAGCGCACGCTTCGTTTTTCATCAGCAAAAGCCACGTGATGTCAACATATCTGGCCCCATGAGGCGACCCGCTCCAGGTAAAATAAAATAGACGAGCGTTTATTTGATTACTGATATCACTGGAGAATACATAATATGTGAATCATTCAGTAAACATTTCTCAAAAGTACTATTCAATTATGTGTAAAACGTATTGATGAGTGCAGCTTTAACATGCACAAAAATAGTCAAAGACGTATTAGTCGCCCACAAAAGCTTACTTTCGAAAAAGAGCAGTGAAAGAGAAACATCAGCTGGATTTATTAATAAGGATGAAGGTTAGTGTGGCATTTCTTATAATGTGTTCGTGTGACGTTTTTGATTAACACAAGTCATGATCTCCCCCAAAATCACAAACATTTTTTATTTAATCGAGGCATCAAAATTGGAGATATTGTCCATGACACTTTTTTAATCGATATTCACTACGGTTTACACAACTTTTAGTAAAAAAGTAGCAATTCATACAAAATAAAATACAGAATATTAAATCAATTATATTGAAGTTTATAAAGCCTTTTTCTATTTGAATAAAAAAGATTGTATTGCAATTCCAATGTAAATTTACGTATATCAAATTATTTGACGCTTAAAAATATATATTTTTTTCATTTTATAATATGCAATGTACATACTTTAAAAAAACATAAGTAATATTGTACTTTTCGTTTTGTTTTATTTTATTTGTAGTCTCTAGTTTATTCTCAGTGACGAACACGAGAGCGACGGCATGACGTCAAACCCATCGGATTTTCTGAGCGCGTCGAACGTCAGGCGGTTCAAAGAGGAGCAAAGATGGCGGACAACAAAAGCCAAGATTGTACGGAGCGCTCCGCAAATATGGAGGTAGAGGCTTCGGGAACAGAAGATAACGGAGACGACGGCTCAAAGGACCCAGATGCCGTCATTTTAATCGACTCGGACCCGACGGAAGGAGCAGACGAGCTCAAGTCTCAAGAGACCGTTCCCCAAGCGCTGACGACATCCAGCAGCAGCGGCGGAGCTACAGACGGGACCCCAAATGCCGAGAGCGCTGAGCCGCCGCCGTCGTCCTCCTCCTCGGCGGACAGCACCGCTGCTGGCGCATCACCCGCTCTCGTTAACGAGATGTCGCCTCCTCCTCCACCAGCATCCTCAACCTCCTCCTCTTCAACCCCTGCCGCCCCGATAAACCTACTGGATACGTGCGCTGTGTGTAAACAGAGTCTCCAGAACCGCGACTGTGAGCCCAAACTCCTGCCATGCCTGCACTCCTTCTGCCTCAAGTGCATCCCGCAGCCGGAGCGAAAGATCACCATCCCGGTGCAAGGGCCACACGGACAGGACACTCGTATTGGTAAGTTAGGAAAAGGGAAGTGAGCTTTGTCAGTTCTGTTCCCGACAATCCAGAAACGATCCATTGCTCAACCGTTTACACATGTTGGCATGTGCAGTCAGCCTCATATATGTGAGATCGCCAGCTGGGGCTTGGTGTTTAACCCATGCAGTTATGGTTATACCTACTGATTGAAGTATTTTAGTATACAGGTAGCTGTCAGAACGTACTAGTTAAGTACGGCTTAGCAGGTCATGTGACGTTAGTTAAATACCAGCATCATATTCCCTTTGTGCATATAGATGCTGTAACCCAGCGGTTTTCAATCTTTTAGATGCTTTGGACCTCCATATATGTGCAAGGGTCCCTTATCCTAAAATTTAGACATATATTTTTATGCATAAAGACCCAATTTATACTATGGAAAAATTAGTATGATATATATTTAAAATATTGTTTGGAAACTTTTTAGTTTTTATTACTTTGCACAGTTTGCAGTATTTAGACCCCCCGCTCCCCATAGTACCATTTTTGTTCATTTATTCTTTCTTTCTTTCTTTCTTTCATCGATTAATTTAGTTAAAACTTTTTTGTATTTTTTTAAATTATGTAAACAATATACTACTACTTGTGTCACAATTTATTGTTGCAAAACATTTCTGTTATATATAGCACATTTATAAAATACTATATAGCAGTATATATAATAATTTTAGTGCTGTCAAACGATTAATCGTGATTAATCTAATCCAAAATAAAAGCTTTTGTTTACAAAATATATGTGTGTACTGTGTATATTTATGTGTGTATAAATACACAAACATACATGTATATATTTTAAAAATATTTACATGTAAATATTAATATTCATATATAATTTATATTGTATATAAATATTAATATTTTATATATAAACAAAACATATTTTTCTTAAATATATACATGCATGTGTGTGTATTTATACATAATAAATATACACAGTACAGTGCACATATTATGTAAACATAAACTTTTATTTTGGATGCAATTAATCGTTTGACAGCACTAGCAATTTTATATTGTTATATTGACATGTAAACGATATTATTGCGCAGCTCTTTATGTAAAGTTAAATATTTGTATATCCAACTTTATTCACAAACACACAGTACACTCATATAAAGCAATATAAACTATATAGCAAATCTCTACTGCTTGATTTGCTTAATTGTTTATATCGTCACAAAATGTAAACTACACTATCGCCCAGCTCTGATCTGCTGAATGCCATTTATTTACTTTTCCACAGACCCCAACACTCCCTTGCTGCCCCCAGTTTGAAAGCCCTTTACATACTAATGCTAGATTCTCTAATTAACTAACCTTTCAAAATAGTCAGCCTCGTCTAGAGTTGTGTGATTTGATTTGATTTGATATTGAATGTATGGATATTGCAGCCTCATACACGGTCAGTCAAATGATGTGGCAGGTGTCAATCAGAGCGATGGGCTTTTTTTATGCAGCAACCATATTTTATCTTTTCTCAGTGGACAAGCTCAAACAGTTGCTGGTCTAGTTGATCAGGCATATGGTCCTGATGTTTTGACACATCACTGTTTGTGTATTGTTGATGATCAGATTCGATGCTGTTGGTATGTTTGTGCCATCGGGGCTAGGCCTGTCGCAATAATCAATATATAGACTTATCGCGCAATATATGTACATGACCTCAATGATTTTTGGTGACTCAATATATCGCCCATTATATTTACTTAAAAATGAATGTCACCGTGGTTTTTTACATTCCACTTGCGTCTGTGTCTTTTGCAGCTTCTCGTACATAATGTGGTGTAGTTGGTGCTAGTTCAAATTTAAAAAATGCTTCTACAAAAAAAGTTTCATCTGCAGATATGGTCTTGTATCTGAGGGATCTGAGCCTTTGTGCATACGGACATCTGACTGCTAAGTAGTGATTGTGTTTTTCAGCAATAGTGTGCACCCTTAATTTACAGAGAAAAGAAGGTCAGGGAAAAATCTGTAGATGGAAAAAATCTCCATACAAGTTCTTTGTGCATTTTTCTTTTTTTGTAATTGTTACCTTGCACTTTTTGTTAGAAAATGTTTATTTACTATTTATTCAAGTTTTTTAAGGTATCTAATATTTTGATACTTAATTTCCATGATCTAAATATTCTTAAAAATTAAAAGTTTGTTGTCATTTGGAAGTGTGTAGGCCTTCTTGCATTATTATGCTGTTATATTATGATTATATATTCAGTGGCATAAAATGGTCTTTAAAATGACAATAATATCACTTATCGCAATTATTTCTGGGGCAATATATTGAAAAGTTGTTATCGAGACAGGCCTAATCGGGGCCACCAGTGAACTAACGTGGTTAAACACACAAGGTAACTATTACCAGTCAAGAGGATGTGATAATGCAGGGGTCACGTCCTGTGACCTCGGATCATGTTCTCATTCATGCACAATGGTTTTCTCTGACAATGAACACTGTGTCATCCCAAATGCTGCATTTTTTGCTTGTAAATCAGGCTAGAAGCGATGCTGTGGTGATCGATTTGTGATGCATGGCTTAGTTTTAGCATGGTTTATTGGAGCGTTATCACTGTATTGTGTCATTATTGGTGCAGCGGAGATATGAGATGATCAGCCTGATTTTTGGTCACATGCTTTGCTGTTGACTCCTGAGTGCAATGCATTATTCATTATGCTTGCATTTCTTGTAATAAGTTAGCGCCATGCACTGTAGTTAATAATAGATGAACTCTGCGTTAGCTGCAGCACGTGATGCTATTTTCATTTTTTGTGAGTTTCACCCATATCAGTGATCACAGATGAATATTTATAAACCCAAAGGTTTTGATTTCTCTTTAAACCTCTTCACTTAACTAAGCCGTCTCTTCACTGTTATTGCAGAATGCCATCAGATCAATATTCTCATATCAGATCAGTGCTCGTTACACTGCAGAATATTTTGTCAGGCTATAAGATTAAAAAGTGAATTCCACTGACCAGAAGTATTAAAATCGAGGACAGGTTTCAGTGTAGCGATATAAATTTGTACAAAAATGAGTTTTTGCATTGTTAGGTTTGTTGTAGCTTTAATTGAATAGGCTATACTTTGGTGTCGTTACTTTTTTAATGCATTACAGACATGAATCCCATGTTTTTTTTTTTTGGTAGCGAGATCTATCATTATCTTACTTAAGATTCCCAATTTAGTGGTCTTTAACTTCTTAAATGTATTTAAAAATGTAAAAAACTATAATATCATATTTGGGACCTACTATTGATATTCAACTTTTTGTTTTTATTTATTAACTAAATTTAATAGACAAAAACAAATAAATAAGTAAAGACAAGTTACCATCGGTTTTTAATTTTGTACATATAAGTTTGTTTTGTATTGAAAAGAAATCACAGAAGTCATGGGTTTAAACTACATTTCCCAAATGTTGATAATAGGGATGCAAAATCAACTCATAATATTTCTGAAGGTTAAGCACCTTGTTTCACTGACATTTGTTGAAAAAAAAAAAAGAAATTCAGAAAAATTTAATGTTTACATGGTTTTATGTCTATAACAGTCATAATTTTGCACTATTAAAAAAAAAAAAAAAAAAAAAATTCTGATAAATTATGCCCTAAACTTAAGCTATGCTATTTGGTAGTTTACTCGTCATTTTTTTGGATCAGTAATTGAAGGGTGCGTTCACTTGCCAGGTTTGTTTTGGGCTTGTTGTAGACGTTTAATTAAAGTTCAGGGGGAGCTAACTCGGAGTTTACCAGCGTGACTCATAAACAGAAACTAACTGAGAAAGCTGTGTGACACTCTTTGCTGCTTGTAGAATCTCAACAAGCACTTTGTTGTACTAGAGCATGTTGTCTATGTTTAACTAGAGTTGTCAAACTGTTATTCTCAGCTTGACTATAGCAGTCTGCTCTATTTGCTTCATGGAGCCTTTCCTTGGTGTTCAGAGCAAATAAATCCTTCTAAAGAAATGTAAACACCAGCAACCCACTTTTGTCAATATACATCACGTTTATGAAATGATCTCATAACTAGCCAAAATGTCCATTATGTGCTCTAGTTTGTTAGCACTATCATATGAATGTTGTGAATTTTGCTAGATTGAATCTTAACAAATCAGTTGTGTTGTAAACATCAATGTAAATCACCCATTTTGAACTCAATCATAATTAAAATGTATCATAAATATTAAAGATAGTGGTTCATAACCCTTGGTTTTGAAAAATAAGGCATTTTGATCGCATTCCAGGGCTCTGCATATGAATAGATGTGCCTCAGGCAATGCATCACTGCCTCCAGTTAATATCAGTACACAGTAACTCAGCTGTGAGTTGCACTGTGTTTCAGTGCACTGTGTCTCCAGCTGCTCTCACCAGCCAATCATCAGCAGGGTTTTGCAGCTGGGTGCTTAGGGGAAACCGGCTGAAAGCAGTATGAGCCAGTGCAAACTGGCTCAAACCAGTTTGGACTGGTTCTAGCTGTGGCTTTGTGGGGGGATTGATGGGCTGTCAGGGAAAAGGGTTGGGGGGTGTTGCATGTGATGAATGGGGGAGGGGCATGTCCAATCACTCAATATGTTTTCAAATTAAATTAGGGTAGAATTAAATTAGTTTTATGAATGGATCATTATTTGTGGTGAAATGCTGCTGCAAGATGCACACAAAGAGCAGACTCGTAGTTATTGCGGTGGCAGTAATAGCTAATAAAACGTTATGAATTATTGATTAATCAAAATCTTTTTGGATTTTAAATGCATAAGAAGCCAGCATTACTGTGTATTTCTTATGCTCTCTCAGTAAAAAATTCAACGTTCCCTATAGGAAGGATTATATGTGTGTGTATTCATGAGAGAAAAACCTTGTCAAGCCTATGAATTTGTATCTTTTAATCTTAAGTTGCATGATTTCTTTTTTTTTTTTTTTTTTTGGGTTACTGAAAATACTTTTGTTTTGACTTTTTCCAGAGTTGTGAGTGTCTTCTGAAAGCTTCTCAGTTGCAATTAAGGATGTGTCATCATGATGGTCAGCTAGTCCAGTGTTTCCCAACCTTTCTTTAGTCGCGGCACCCTTTGGAAATTTTAACAAATTTGTGGCACCCTACAAAATTAATTTTGTCACAATATTTGAATTTCTAACTTCGATATGATACTTTGAAAAGTATAGATTTTCGGTACAGCAGGGAAGAACTGCAGAATATACTGTCATACAGATATTTTTGATAAAATGTTGTCCATCAATGGTGGCAATCAGTAGGCTAATTTCTAATGAAAAGACCAATTTATATGACAGATTTTAATGTAGGCTTTTATTCATATGTAAACATTGTGAGATAGCTAGTTATAATGGTAATTAAACAAAGTTTTGCTCACTCAGTGTATTTTTGATTTTACAGTTGGGTAATTTTGTTGCAGTAGCACGAGATAGCTTGATTTAAAACTTAGAATTTAATAACAAATGGCAAGGAGGCTAAACAGTTAATAATAAAATAAGAACAAATAAAGAAATTACTAATGATAGCACAAATAAAAAAAAATCACGATAGGCCTAGAAATGAAATAAATTGCTTTTTAGTTTTTCGGGTAGGTCTAACAGTAGGGTTAAGATATTTAAAAAAATTTTTTTTTTTTTTACCAATTATCCAAATAATGTTTAGTCCTAGAAAGCTATTATTATCAGAACACGTGAGCATAACATAGCGGTTAGCGGATCAATGAATGAGAGGGCAGCGTTACCAGAGTTGCCCATATACCACACCATGTTACAGCACAGTAGGGCTATTGCAGACAGAAACAATACTGTACTACATCGATGTTTCCTGTCGGCTCAATTTTTGAGTGGACTTTGCTGTTCCGATTCGCATGAACGGTATACGAGTGGAGCGACTGAGCGGAGCGCACACGCATAGAGCGGGATAATACGCAGAGCGTCACACCACGTGAAAGTGAAACCTGAGCGGTGAACAAATTTTCGGGAACCGGAATTTCAGTGCATCTCTAATTATTGGCGACATCAGAAATGGATATTATATAATAGCTGCTTTTTTGAACATTTTAGCAATTTAAAAATATAAAAAAAGGATTTTTTTACACCACCCCTGCTCTCGACAGACGGCACCCCGGTTGGGAAACACTGAGCTAGTCTACTAGTCCAAGTACCATTCTGTTGCATTCTGTCTAGTTGTTTACAAATGCCAGAATGTGTCTTAAATAAACGTACCTGACCTGGGGTCAGATGAACGTGAAACCAACCTAATTGCTCAGGACCTCCTTTACACTGAAACTAGTCAGACAACCCACTTAAAAAAAAAAAAGCCTATATATTGTATGGGGAATAGAACCTGATACTCCTGGACCAACATGATTTACACTTATATAAACCAAGTCATTGTTCATTATTTTAATATATTTATTATAATTTTTTTCATTTTTTTATTTCTTTACACATTTTCATTTTTGTCTTTATTTTCCGGTAATATTATAAAGTTATTGTCTAGGGATTCAAGTAGGGCTGAAACGATTCCTCGAATACCTCGAGTAACTCGAATACAAAAAATCATCGAGGCAAATTATTTGCCTTGAGGCTTCGTTTAGTCCAGGGGTGTCCAAACTCGGTCCTGGAGGGCCGTTGTTCTGCAGAGTTTAGCTCCAACTTACCTCAAGATACCTGTCTGGAAGTTTCTAGTATGCGTAATAAGACCTTGATTAGCTGGTTCAGGTGTGTTTGATTAGGGTTGGAGCTAAACTCTGCAGGACACCGGCCCTCCAGGACCGAGTTTGGACACCCCTGGTTTAGTCCATTTACTCTAACTACACACGGAACACCGTGTTTCCCCACGGACCATTATTACTGACGCACAACCCGATAAACGCTGGACCAGACCATAGATGATAGACTGTATAAAAACAGTATTTAAAACCTTAAATCAATATGGTGGCTAGTTATAATGTTTCGTGAAAGACTAAACGCCATTGTGCATAAAAATACCACAGAAAGAAAGTTAGTCAATATCACACGAAGAGTGCCAGTTTTCACCTCTAAAATCAGCATGATTACAAATGTGATTTTATTCAACAGTTCAATAAACAAGAAGGTAATATTATGAGACTTACGTTTTAGACACTATATTGCCTGTTTTTGCTTTATTTTGCCAACAAAAAAATTCCAAACACAGCCACAGCTCTGTTTTGCGTCTCTGTGCAACATAACGGCGTTTCGTTCCTGAATGAATCAACCGTTTAAATGATTCGGTTCAATCGCAATGACTCACTTCTTAACAGTGACTTGCTGCCACCTGCTGGTGGTTTTTCGTTTTTAAAATAATTTTAAATCTCAGTATTCAATGTTTTATATTTAAAATAACAAAATATTATTTATGCATTTGATATGAAGGATATCAAAAACAAGTTTTACACACACATACACACACACCAGTAGTACGTATAGGGACATTTAAGAGGGTTTATTCTCCAAATAACTCTAATTTCATGTTGCAGAAAAATGTGTTTAAAAAGTGTGTATGGTCTCTTGTTCTTGTTCCAAGTTACCTTCCTGTCCACTGAGTTTTGCCTCTCACAAAAGCCACAAAGCCTTCCAAGAAGACAGTAAAGGCTTATGTCATGCTTGAGCTTTAGTTAGGCTGAAACTTGAGTTAAGTTGCACGACATAAATGCAATGTTTAGGTATCATTATTATTTTTATTACTATTATTTTGATTTATGCCTTAGTTTTAGTTTGTACTGTTTACTTTTTTTTTTTAAAGTAATGGGAAATTGTTTTTTGTATTTTTATTTTTTTATTGATATTTGTATTTGCATTTTGAATGCAATTTGGCAATTAAATACATTAAATGGGTTTAGTTTTCACGGTTATTAATGTATGCAATTTCAGCAATAAAAATGTTAATTTTTCTAAAAAGAAAACAAATTAGTTGTTTATTTTAAGAGATCTATCTTATCTCTTGTATATTTAGTATTGCTCTTTAATAAAGAAAAATGACTTCTTATCTGATTAATCGATGGAATAATCGGTAGAATACTCGATTACTAAAATAATCGATAGCTACAGCCCTAGATTCAAGTGAGGACTGTTTAAAAATAGTTGCATTGCCTGTATGGTATAAAAGGGTGAAGCAATCTTCTGTTTGTTTCAAGACTTTTCTAACGCTTTGTGTTGTTTTTCTTTGTTTCTTTTTTACGTTTTTGTGCAGTGAATGTCATGCGTTGCACGGTGTGCCATCAGGAGTACAAACAGATTGACATGGTGGACAATTACTTTGTCAAGGACACTTCAGAGGCCACAAGCACATCGGTTGAGAACTCTACACAGGTCAGTATCAGCCCTGTGATATTGATTTAACTAGAGTGTTTAACTAGAGTGAACAACAGCAGTCCTGAAAATGGCTTTTAAATAAAAAATGTTGCATTAATCAATAACTGATGTAAAATTAAAGCAAGTATCCCATACATGCATTTTACATGAAAACCAGTGAATCAATTGGTATTCACACTAGAGGTCTTCTCGGGTCCTAAAATCTGTACCCGACCCGAATCGACCCGAATCACTTCTTACCCGAACCCGACGTGCATAAATTAATTTTTTTTAAAGAAAAACCCGACCCGAGACAGACCCGATGAAATTAGACCCGAGTCCGACACGACCCGACGGCATTTATTTTCGAACCCGACTGGACCCGAACGTAAACGGCATTGACGTGTGTACAGCCTGCAGCCCCGCAGTCAGTCAGGAAAAATCCCGGTGTCCTGTTGACTGATTTGGCCACTTCTCCATTACTTTGATTTATTTAACATTTATTCAATTTATTATTAGGTTACTTTATATTAGGGCTGTGC